CATTTAAATTTTTTTCTTCCCTAAGCTTATTTTGTGATGACAATGCTAAGATTCATCGGGCTCAGCCTGTGAAAGAGGGGTCCACATAGCATGAGTCATTTTGACACATGGGTTAGCCATTAGAATACAGACCTCAGCCCCACTGAAAAACCTTTGGATGTGCTAGAGAAGATGCTTTATCTGAGACTGTAGCAGCATAACTACTGGTTCAGAGGCACCTGATCTACCATTAACTATAAGCTAACAATAAGCAAAAAGGAAAGTTTATTGTACTGAAAATGTATGCTGCATCTAATAATAATGCCTAAAGGAAATATATAATGTAAATGGAGCAGACTGTCTCTAGGGGCGTTTGGCTTTTGAAAGTGACTTGCTGAATTTGTGGGCTTGTGGCTAATTCAGCTTGAGGTGTTTTCACCATATTGGTGATTGCGAATTTTTTTGTTTTCTCCAGTTGTTTCTGACATTGGTGCAGATGAGCTTCAAATCACCATTTGCAGGAGTTGTAAGGATTTTTTTTAAGTACCGTAATTGTCGGGCTATAAGCCGCTACTTTTTGCACAAGCTTTGAACCCTGCGGCTTTTAGTCAGGTGCGGCTTTTCTATGGATTGTCCAAGATTTTTGTGATATCGTAAGAGGATTTATTTTGTTTGTTCCGCTGTTGTACGGCACTACGTTGACTGGCAGGAGGGCATGTGATCAGACACACAGTATCGGGGTTCAAGAGTGGTATGTTGGTCACGTGTCCATCCGCCAGGCAACATAGTGCTGTACAAGTAGCGCGAAAAACAAACTTCAAATTAACGCTACGCGTTCAGCGGGAGTCGTGGATGACGAGCGGCAATAAACTTGCGAAAAGCAAGTTATGCTCAACTCCACCGGTGGAACCTGACAGCGTGGAAAAGTGTGAAAACATCCATGATCACCAACGGATTTCAAAGGGCTCGACTGCTGCATTATGGAGAGGAAGACACCGCCACGGCCCTTCAGAGGGTGTTCGACTCTGACACTGACAACGAGGATTTGTTTGGTTTTGAAAGTGACAACGAATGAAAGAAGCTGAGAGTGGATGACGTAGCCATCCTGAGCCTGTTCGTATCAGACACTGGAGGAGAGGACTTTGGTGGTTTTAGTGTGCAGGAAGAAGAGAAAGATGGTGGTGAATGACTGACTTTTCTTCTTGTTAAAGCCGTGTCACTGCACCTGAGCCTAAAAGGTAGTCCGAATCTATTTTTCTGGTGTGCTGTAGGTTATTGTTATGTACTACATTTGTTACTCATTTATGAAGCACAGTACATGTTTCGTACTTGTAATTACCGCTACGTGCACATATACCTAAAAAGTTATGCAAATATGTACCCATAACTTGTTTTTCAAAATATTAATAAAAGTGATGTCTCCAAACAGCCATCTCTTTCCTGACATGTGCATATTCTCTTACATAAGTCAACATTGAAACACCTGCGGCTTTTGGTCAGGTGCGGCTAATGTATGTACAAAACAGGATTTTCCCCTGATTTTAGCTTGTGCGGCTAATATTCAGGTGCGCTTTGTAGTCCGGGAAATACGGTATTTGTCTCAGGAAGTGAGGTCTAAATATACTTTCTGTCCAAATATCACATGACAGAAAGTTAATTTTTAAGGAAGCATAAAAATGTTGCATTTCACCTTTAGGGGCCACTGGAAACAAAATGCATAGCCATACCAAGCGGCGAGATGAGATTTTAGCAACTGTGCCTTGCTGAACGGCGTTGTTACTTGCAGCTATAATGTTAGTTTCCTGAAACACAAAACCTGTACACAGACCTGAAACTAATGTGCCCGTAGGAGCCCAATTCAACGTCCCACTTCTTTGCCCAGTTCTTTGTCATGGGAACAAAGTTTCACTACAGAACATATTTACAATTGTAGTTAGTTATTTTAGGGATTGCATTATTAGTGGTATCTTTGATAATTGTGTAATAATACCATTTCATTGTTCACTGTTCTAATATGTGGTTTGTCCAGGAAGAAGAAGGCAAAACTGACTGGACCTCTTTTTAAATTCTTTTTTATTTCTATGGCACAATGATGGTTTATGTTTTTCAGAGTGTCTCAGGTTATGCTTTTGAATCCCAATTCAAAGTTAACAATAGGCAGACAACATAACGCGGCACCGCTGAGTTTATATGCAGTAGCATTAGTTATAAAGTAGAGGGTGAGGTTAGTTTCACACACTGTGCCTAAAAGTGTAAAACCGAAAGCTGTCTGGTCAGTACTTTTTCCTTTTATTTTCGGTATCTTCACCTACTTCACAGCTCTTTTTGTGCTATCTCCCCTCTAAGTGGGTGACTCATTGCATCAGGTCTGCACCCTGAAAGGCTTTGATTAGATTGCTTTCTTTCTCCTCCCTTTCCTTATTCAATTTCTCCCTTTCAAAAAGGCATGCTGACAACTTTCTGCTGTAGTGTCCTTTAGATTCCTAAATAAACAAACAAAGATCAGACAAAGCTCTGATTTTAATTAGATCATTAATACTGCATTTATATATTTATTAGGGGTGCAACGATACACAAAATTCACGGTTCGGTTCGGTTCGATACTTTGGTGTCACGGTTCGATATTTTTTCGATACAAAAAAATGTTCATGCCTTTTTAATTTGTCATTTATTAAAATTATAAATATATATTTTAACTCAAAAGTACAGTTTTTAAATTTAACCCTAACCCTTGTGCGTGTTTTTTATTTTGACAGCGAATGCGCACCTGCGGACCACTTATGTGCAGCTCTGGTTATTTAGCTCGTCATATTGCAGCCACAGAAATTCTTTTGTCCATAAAACCATAAAGCTGCACTTTCTTTTTGCCTTATAGTCTGATTTGTCATAACTTCTCCGTTTTGTGGTAAGCTTTTCTTTGGCTGTCACTTCTTCACCCTGACCTGTCTTATTTGGCTCAGCAGAACTAAAATATATATCTGTCTGTGAAGGTTCTCAGTCATCCAGGTCATCGTAGTCAAATATATATCCTGCTGCTTTTACACACGCACTCACATAAGCTCAGCGATTCTCTGCGCGATCAACCTCTCACATGTTTAAGCTGCGGGAGATTTCACTTGTCATGTTTGCATAGTAAGCTAACGATTAATAAGACGATGTCAGAGGAATTGGTGCGCAAATTATCATCACTCACCAATCAGTGCTGTCGCTCTCTATACACAGTTCGCACGATTGCAAAGTGAAAGCAAAAAAGCAAGCGCAAATTCAAACGCGATTTCAATATGTCACATATTGACAGTGGCTCACCGATGCCAATTACATAATTACCAAGCGACATTTCTGAAAGAATGCAAAAGCATTGACATATATTTTTCCTTCCTACAATAGCCCGACGGGCAGGGAAGAGATAGATTTTGGTAGCCCGACTGGAAAAATCGCTAGCCCCGGGACGTCGGGCTAGCGATTTTGCGAGCCCTGTATCTGATTGAGGAATCACTCATCTTTGGAAAAGAGAGTTTATTACAGAGAAATGGCTCTTTCCAAAATAAAAGCTATACTATCCGCTTCTTCTGGGCTATATTCTCAGCAGCATATTAAACATATCAGGTCCCCATAAGGAGAATCATGTGCTAACAGCTGTCTAGATGACTCGGCTAAAGTTAATAGCATGCTTGCTTGTTTTTTTTCTGCTTCCACTTGTCTTTGCACTAGGATGATGTCGGCGTAAATGTGCAGTCATATTCGTTGTGTTCCCACTAGTGCTTTCAGGTTAATCTCGTTGAAATGACATTAACGCCACAACACGACAAATCTCCGTTAATGAGCTACCGCCGATCGCCCCGTGCATGGGGCTAGACGGCCAACACGTTAACGAGCTAACTGTGCTAACACACTAGCTCCCACCCATGTAATTGAGCATTGCGTGGCACATCCAACATACTGTTTTACTTTAGTCCATGACTCGCTTACCTTCAGGGTCATACGTCACATGAAAACCAAAATAATTCCAAACGCCAGATCTGAATGAGAGTGGGGGAGGTCCATGTTGCAAGGAGAGCTTAACTTCTGTCTCGCTAGCTTGCCCTGCGCTCTTCCTTCTGACGATGCTGTCTGTGTTGAGCGCTCAGTGGATCTGCATTCGACTACTCCGCCTAGGCTGCACTGTCGAGCCTAGGCGGAGTAGTCGAACGCAGATTCACTGAGCTCTCAACACAGACAGCATCGTCAGAAGGAAAGTTGATAAAATAAATTACAAATTTTGTATTGTTCGATACATATGCGTACCGAACCGAAAGCACTGTATCGAACGGTTCAATATCAATACGAATATCGTTGCACCCCTAATATTTATTTATAGTAGTTTCATGTTGACCTTTCACCCTTTTTAAATGCTTGACCTGCATGTCAAGCAGTTCTGTCCTACTCTATTGCTGATCACATTATTCAGAACTATAGTTCTACACATTGTGTTCATAGAACAGGTCCTTTATCCTCTGTGTCACTCATGCTCTTTAGCATTTTAGCTTTATAGTTGCTGCTTATTATTCTACATTGATTCCTTTAAGGAAGAGTTTTTTGCATGTTTGCCAGTTATGCCATGTTATGAATGAAATCACTGGCAACACACCTATTGCTGTTAGTGAGTTACCCGCACATTGTTTGCATCCTCTGGTGTGCCTGTCAAGCATCAACACCCTTTATGGCTTGCACATGTTTAATACAGAAAGATTCACTGTGAAATTAATTTGTCGCTGTGTTTGATTTGTCAGCAGGCCCAGCAGTCTTTAGTCTGTCCTCCTGTCAGGTTCATTCAAGCTTTGTGTCCTCAGAATTGTTTGTCTGACACTTGAAGATAGAACTTTATTTTTCTGCTCTTTATACTTTTACTAGGCCTCGAAGCTCTGTCCTGCTTCAGAGGATTTTCTCAAAATTATGGACTTGTCCTTTCCTGCCTTGATCTTAATTCCTTTTGTCCCCTGTTCTCTCCCAACCCCCGTAATCCCTTGGGTTCTTCTCCCCAGGCCAAGTCGTGTATCTGTCACATGTGTGGCGCCCACCTGAACCGACTCCACTCTTGTCTCTACTGCGTCTTTTTTGGCTGTTTTACAAAGAAACACATCCACGAACACGCAAAAAACAAGAGACACAATCTAGGTAAGTTGCTCACTCTCACGCACTCTAAGACCCTAGTTGGTTATATTTAAATTATTCTCACGACCAGTGGCAAAATAGATGCTGACTGCATTGCATTACAGTTCCTGTGGGAGTGCCTAGTCCCAGTCACATTTAAACTGGCAGTCTTCTTCAGCAAGGGGATGGTAGACTTTTGCTAATCTTGTGCTACCAAAAAGAGTAGCTTCAACATTACATACCAATTATGCTAAATAAGACAAAGGTATTAAAGAGCAAGATTTTGACATCACCCTGATGAGCACAATTAAATGTGGGAACAACAGAGACAATAGAACAGTTTTGTACACATCTTAATGGCTTTAATTGATTTAATCCATTTCAGCAGTTTGGTCACACACACACAGACACACACACTCCGTCCTGTGTGCGGGGATGCGGTCTTAATTAGCGTTGAGCTTTCCACAGGTGCCTCCCTGACACTGGCACTCTGTTCCTCTCTACCTCTAATCAAATTAATCCAAACTCCCTTGTCTGCTCCACTGCTAGATGTCAAGCTCCCTTCTCAGTGCTCTGTACCCATCATTTTCACTTCCCGTTCTTAGCAGGCTCACTCACAGGACTTTGCTCATGCCTTCTTTGTCTGCTTATTTTTCTATCAACCTCATTTCCCCACCTCTTCATCCTCTTACTGTTTTGCTCTTATGCTTTACTCATTTCAGCACGAGTGCTGAAATGCTTCTCATGCCTTATGCAGGACCTTGTCTTCCTCCTCTCTCTGCCACTTGTATTATTCTAATTTTTCTTCATTAACCGGGTGCTGTTGTATGCAGTGGAGCATCCTGTTTCTATATATATTTTACTGTCTTTTCTTATTTCACGCCCTTGCAAAACACTGAGCAGCACATATACACCGGTTGGTTTTTCTACATGATGCATTAGCTCACCTTCTTATTGTGAGTAGCGCCAAAAACAGAAAGATGTCCGGTTAATCTAAAAATAGGTTGTCACAGCAACAGAGCTGAAATATTGTTGCTGTGGAGTTTGAAAATGGAAGAAGTTGGGTTGTGTTAATGGGAAGCACAAGTGGGGGTGGTAGACAAATACACCTTTTCCATCACTGCCTGCCTCACATCTGTCATTTTTCTAGTGGAAGCAATAAGATGGTAACACTTGGTTTTATCAGTGGTTTTAGACAGCAAAATAATCATTTTAACCCCCCCCCCCCCCCCCCCAAAAAAAATGTCTATTACTGTACAAAAAAAAAATACTTATAATTTGATTGCAATCTAATACTCACTCTCTTTCCCCCTCCTTCCTTCCTACAGCAATAGACCTATTATATGGTGGAATATATTGTTTTGTGTGTCAAGACTACATTTATGACAAAGACATGGAGCAGATTGCCAAAGAGGAACAGAGGAAAGCATGGAAATTGCAAGGTATAGCATTCTGTTTTCATTAATACAGTTTTCTTTCTTTTCTCTTTTTTAAACTAAAGCAGCCTGGTAATCTCTGCCCCGTCACATTTGTCCACAGGCATAGGGGAGAAGTACACGACGTGGGAGCCGACCAAGAGGGAGCTAGAGTTATTACGACACAATCCAAAGCGGAGGAAAATCACTACAAACTGCACCATAGGTGGGCAATCGATTGCACTGTTTATTCTGCACGTCTTAATCTGCACAGCTTTTCTTCTCATCGTAGTTGTGATTGCTGTGGGTTTTCTCCATGGCTCTTTGTGTGTTTGTGTACGTGTGTGTGCGCGCAAGTGTGCTTGGAGTCACTCATGCATTTAGGTGTAATATTCAAGGTCAACCAGACTGGGCAGCCCCGCAGGCAGTGGACTGGGAGAGGCAGGACACAGTGTTCCCTCTCAGATATATGCACACTACATCAGAATGTGTGTCTATCTCTACCCAGAGCTTGTTTTCTCTTTGTTCCTTTTTTGGAGTTATCTCTTGCCATGCTTTTACCCCTCCTGTTGTTTCCATTGTGTCTCTAATTTTGTACATGTAGTAATTTACCCTTTTTCCCCGCCCCGTCTCCCACCAGCCTTCACTCTCTTTATACCTTCAAACAATTTGCTTGGTCAACCTGACTGGGCAGTGGAACTGGTGTCTTTATGTGTGTGTGCCCACCATGACCAGTCTAAATTGTTTAGGCGCTCACTGAGCACTCTTATCAAGAACCAAACCTTGGTCAGTTGGATTAGACCCAAGATCTAGCTGTGTCTCACCTGTTCTTCTGGCCATCATTTCTCACTCTAAATGAATTCATTCAAAGCTTTGGGAACACATCCAAGTTGCACACAGTGTTGCTGGCATACCTGACCCAACACCATATTAACTTTTCAGCCAAACAAAAATGGATCACAAAGCATTGGTGGCTTTTATGCATAACTTCATTATGTTTAAATACATGAACCAGCCTTTTATATATCAATCTAGTGTTAAAAACCAAATCTAACTCAATTTATTAAATGTAAAAGAAGTGTTCAAACCTTTTACTTGACTTTATATTCTTACAAGGTGCATTTGTTTCACAATTTACACTACATGCCAGTACAAAAGCGTGACATCCAATTAACTCTTCAGAGCTCTGTGATTAAAATTCTGTCGAGCCACAGCTCAGGTTAAAGGCATAAAAGCAACGCGTATTCCCAGTACCATAGAATTTTGATGTGTGTCATCTTCAGAAGTCCTTTGTAGGGATATATCCCTCAGTAAAAGACACATGACAGCTCACAGAGTTTACCAAATGCCATTTAAAGGACTCTGAGATAAATATTTTACTTTCTGGAAAGAGCTCTTAGTGAACATGAAGCACTGCTCATCTTCTGGTCACACCTCCATGGTAGAGCATGGTAGTAGCAGTATGATACTATGGAATTAGTTCTTAATAACAGGCCCAGGGAAACCCAATACAACTCAGTGAGTGATGAATAGTAAGTAATACACCTTTTAGCATGAAGATAACCCAAAGCTAACGGCTAAAACATTGCTGAATTGGGTTTGGAATAACTGTCTGGCTAAGTTGAGCGAAAGCTTAGACTTTAAAATGAGAGAGCATTGAAAAAAAGAAAAAGACTTGTAAATAGTTTATGTACTGAATTATTTTTTGAACAAGGAAGTTCACTGTAGTCCAAAGATAAATATGATTTAAAAATCTCTTCATCGTCACCAGTGCGAATTGGAGTCACTGCTGTGTTTAACCTTCAAAGCCCTGATGTTCTCCCTCTTCTTTTATTCCCTTTTTGTTCCGCAGGTTTACGAGGGCTAATAAATCTGGGCAACACGTGCTTCATGAACTGCATCGTTCAGGCTCTGACACACACACCACTGCTACGAGACTTCTTTCTCTCCGACAGACACAAGTGCGAGATGCAATCAAACTCCTGTCTGGTGTGTGAGATGTCGCAGCTCTTTCAGGAGGTACGACGCACAGTCGACATGTGCAAACTTGTTAGATAGGTTTGGTAAATGGCACAAAGAAAATGGGTTTGTGAATGTTTAGTTTTTTATCATCTTTTTTTTTTGTGTACACAGCTATAATTTTAGAGATTTTTAACAACCATGCAATACAGAATGTTTTCTCTGCCATAAAAGGCTGAGTCACTCTTGTGCTCTTTTGTCAAGTCCAAAGAGGGAGGCAGAGACAAGGGAAGAAATGCTGCCTGAAAGGAATGTAGAGTGCAACATACAATGCAGTAATTATACACCTTTATTGAATCTGCTCAGCCAGATTTAAATTACGTAGCCCTTAAAAAGTCTTAACTGTTTATTCTTCATGCAACAGAAAATAGGCATTTTACATCTAATAAACTCAACCCAGAGTCTTACGTAATGACTGCCTGCTCTGCTCCCACACTGTCTCACTTCCTTCTTACATCCTCTCATTTGCAGTGTATATGGGCACACAGTTGGCAAGTGGTGTTATAATATATAACGAGTTGAATCATCAGCCCCCCACCTCCGCAACACACACAGACATGTCTGTCCTGTCTCAGTTAGCTGAACTGTTCAGTTGTATTTCACATGAAGTGTCTTTGAGGCATACAATTCAGGATTTTACATTTAAACAGTCCCGGGCACGTGAGCAGTCTTTTTTTTTTTTTTTTTTTTTTTTTTTTTTTTTTTGTGCCTAAGCCTTGTTTCATAGGTTACATCCAGCTCCCCTCTGTATCTTCATCAAAAGTCATCTTGTGGCTCTGTAGGCACCTGCGTGATCTCAGGCAGCTTTTTTGGATTGAAAAGGGGAGGTGTGGCCTGCTTTGATCAGCGACTCTCTCCTCTTCCTCTCCCCTATTCTTGTCTTCGTGTTGTCGCGTAATTCGTTTGTCAGCCACCTTCAGACTGCCGAAAAGGAGAAGAGTCTGTAAGATTCAAAAAGAGACGTCAGCTCAGCATTTTTTTTTTCTTTCACCGCTCAATCAGACTTCAGAGAAAACTGAGGAGTATAAAGCGACGTGCGCGCATTATCCGCACGTCGAGATGTGAGATCCTCTGGCATTAATGAGGTCTTGTTGGAACTTCGTTGCACTGTTTTTGCACCCTGCCGGTACTTGCCTTGTCACTTGCTTGTCCATCCTGACCTGCCCTGAATTCTCAGTCCAATTTCAACAGCAAGCCAGAGATCTCCAGCACATAACAGATGGATATTTTTGCTGCACACTCTCCCTGTTTTTCCCCCACCCATCTGCTTTGACTTGCCTCTGTTGTGTCTTACACTTTCCCTCTCTGTGGATTTGCTGTCATCAGAGCTGGTTCTGTTTTGTAACTTTTGTTAGAATTCATTTATATCTGGCAAGACCTGTTGAATGAAGTGCTTACAAAAGAGCCAAAAGAGACTGGAATGAAGTGGATAAAATAACACACCTAGTAACACCTGGAAAAATAGGCTAACCACCTTTCTTCTTCACCCTCACCCACCTGTCCCATCTTTCATCCCTTCTCCCAGTTCTACTCGGGCCACCGTTCGCCCCACATTCCATTCCGGCTGCTGCACCTGGTGTGGACTCATGCACGCCACCTCGCAGGCTACGAGCAGCAAGATGCCCATGAGTTCCTCATTGCAGCATTGGATGTACTGCATAGGCACTGCAAAGGAGACACTATCAGTAAGTCGTCCTTAAACACAATTAGTTTAATGGGTTTATTTATTTTTTGAGTTTGTGGCCCATAAATACTTTAGTTTGAAATTCCAGTTCGACTTAAGTGAGTAAACGCAGGTAAAAACAGTGTCGGCTGAGATTGAGGGGAGTGTTAGGAGACAGAGCCACCTACTGTCTCTGATCTGGCATATCGAATTATACCTAAAATCTACCGACAGACAACAGTGCCTTACTTCACTGGAAACATACTGAAGGAGACTTACAATGTACCAACGGGACAGCAAGCAAGTAGTGTAAGGAATGTCAATAGGCCCTGCTGCAGTGCAATGACAGGTTGACTCAGTCATAGCCACAACGGAAAGGCTTACCCTGATTGGCTAGAGAGAATAAAGAGCTGTGAAGTGGGAGTGAGGCACTGTGAAGCTTTTAAATGTGCTAAAGAGGTGGGCAGTGTGCAGTCATGTGTGTTCATATTGTCTCCTCTCTCTGGTCAACAGACGACAATGGCAAGAAAGCCAACAATCCAAACCACTGTAACTGCATCATTGACCAAATCTTCACCGGGGGCCTGCAATCAGATGTTACCTGTCAAGTTTGCCAGTAAGTGTGTGTGTGTGTGTGTGTGTGTGTGTGGGGGGGGGTCAGATAAAACCCCCGTCATGATGCAATGGAAAGGGACTGCCGAAAGACAATCCCACTCGAGATGTTCACTAAGCATTCATGTTGAAGCAGCATCACGCCTTCTGTCTTTTTTTCCCTCCAACATTTACTCATTCATGCATCCTCCACATATTCCTGTCATCTTCAAGTAGTGGGGGAACCATTGGTTTTTGCGCTCTTATTCAAAGACCCAGTCCCTGCAGAGCTGCTTTAATGGAGGTTGTCTAGACAGCAGCGCAACCCAAGCATTGCCTGCTTCCCCCTAGAGCTGTCCTGTCACATTAACACTAGCACGCTGCACTGAACTGGAAAGCACCTCACCCAGACTTGCAGGCAAGCCCAGCCCAGCTTACTGTGACATTACCTGCCTCCACTGTGAAAGTAGAGACTGCTGATGCAGAGCTGCTCATGACAGTGCATCACCGTGGCAGTAAATCACGCCCCTTCATAATCATTAAAATCACTTTTTGAATATAATGGGTAAGCTCTTAAGCAATAAAATGCATCAGCAAAGGCTTTCAAACTAAAGTAGTGCCATACTGGTGTCAAATTACTGCAGAGCTGATCTCCTATTGCCATAAATGCATGTCTGCTTGCCTTGCTAGCCACCCACTGGTTGCTCTGGGTATTGCAAAACCATGACTCATCTAACCAACATTGATAATGTTTGGCAGCCCACCCCTGTGCATATATATTTATGTATACTCTACACATTTTGCACTTGAGGCCTCTGTTTTGCCTGGGCTGCAGTCCATCACGCTTATTGGGCTGTAATAATACAAATTCTTTACGCAAAGCCATTTTCTTTGACGTAACACATCATTGAATTGCAGATGAACCCGGAACAACTGTGTAGACATTATTCACATGCGCACATTCAGTCTTCCATCAGCCTTAAACAAAGACATGATCAGAATCTCAAGGGGGCTGTGGGAGTTTAATCTTACTCGTTACCATCTATGTCATCATCCTGCCAAGTGACGCCAAACTACACAAAGCCACACACTAATAGTTAAACATTATAATTGAACTCCCTTCTTCTTCTTCTTTTTTCCCCTGTAGTGGGGTTTCCACAACGATAGACCCTTTCTGGGACATCAGTCTGGACCTTCCTGGCTCTTCCACGCCTTTTTGGCCCCTCAGCCCTGGAGGGGATGGAAGCACAGTTAATGGCGAAAGTCACCTGTCAGGATCCACCACGCTCACAGACTGCTTGCGCAGGTATATATTCATTCATTCATACATAAGGTTCAGTCCAGGTTCCCCAGGAGTGCTTTCTTTTGCTTTGTGTTTTTTAATGCAACACTTTAACATTTTGAAAAACTGTTTAAAGCCACTGAAAAAAAGGCCTGCTGGAAAACTCCATATAAGGTGCAGATACTCCCTGTTTATGTCTAGACATGGAAAACTGATATTATGGATTATAGTGGCAGCGGCAGGGCCAACTGGCAGCATGGTGCTGGAATTAGTTATACTGTCACCTGCTGATTTTGCAGGCATTTTGCATTTTAAGTGTTTTTTGACATTTTTATGTAAATGAAGGTTTGTTTGTTTTGTGTTTTGTTTTTTAATAAATGTTTCTGTGGGCATTTTTTCTCTTTTGGAGTGTCAAAGAAGAACATTTTTTCTTGATTTTAAAAATACTTGTGGATGTGTCAGTGAGTGTGATGTAAAATACATAAACAAAAAGCAAAAGCAAACCAAAACCCTTCTCAGGTTGGATGCTACATGTTTATCGGGCTCCTAGTAGGCATATTAATCTGCGCTGATTTAAAAGGAAATAAGCTTTTATCAGTCCACCTGCATCTTTTCAGGAGCAGTCAGACATTCACCCCACCCCTGCACATGTACAGGGGGTCACATATAGTTTCTATTCAGGCACAACAGCCGTGTTATCCTTGAATCTCATCTTCTCCCATCACCAGGTTGACCAGGGAGTGTGACCTCTCATATCTCCTCTACTGCCTCTTCATTTTTTCAATTTGTTTTCCTCTTCTCCTTATCTTATTTCATTCTTTTCCCGTTTGCCCTCACTCTCTACCACTCACATTTGTCTCATCCTCCCCCTCTCTTTTTCTCACCTCCTCTCCTGCTGACTTTTTTTTTTTTACTGCAGCTTCTCACACATCTCTAGTTGCTGCAGCAAGTCTCTTAAAGCTACAGAACTGGTTGATGTTATTGCCATGGTGATAAAGGCGTTGACGACACCACATGGGCTTTTGCGTTAGGCAAACTGACATGCGTATGTGCTGCAGCAAAACCGTGCAAGCAGGCATATTATACAGACCTTCATGTTCTTCCACTGATACGGAGAACAGCTTAGTGCGCTCCACATTCAGAGGACATCTAACACAACCAGAAACACTCCACGCAGAAATCTTTCTTCCTGCTTCTCGCGTTTCATGCCTCCGTTCCATATCCATTTTCTGGCTGCACGTTTTAACACGTCATCTCTCCCCTCTCTCTTTATTGCATTCTTCACTCTGCAGGTTTACGCGACCTGAGCATCTAGGAAGCAGTGCCAAAATAAAATGTGGTGGTTGCCATAGTTACCAGGAGTCCACCAAACAGCTGACAATGAAGAAGCTTCCCATCGTAGCATGTTTCCATCTCAAAGTGAGTCACCCATGCGCTGCCAATTATCACTCGTTACATTGTCTGTCACTGTCTGACAGTTTGATTATTTAAGGCTAATCTGAGGATCTAACATTCGCACGTCTAATTTTGTCACCACTCCGAAATAGTTAAAAGAGCTGTGTGACTTAAAAGGAAAGTTCACCCTTAAAATCAAATGTGTGCATGTGTTGATGAGATTCCTGCATGCTTTTATATGTAATTGAGCTAATAAGTATTTCCTTATAATGCTAAGGTCTCATCCCCTAAAAACTTGAGCAGCAATTTGAGCAGTTTTATGTAGGAACTACTTTTCTTTCCATCGTGCTACCCATTTTTTTTTTTTTTTTTAGCTTTTTTGCTGCACGGAGGAGAATCTTGAACCTGCCCTCGCTCGTGACAGGATGTAAACATTAATGCCAAGCTATAAGGTTGACTAGCTCTGTGTTTCCTTTAGTTAGAGACTGCACTGCAGGCCAGAGGAAAACAAATGCATTTGATCTTGACGTGAACTTTCCCTCCTTTCCGCCTTCATGCCAATGCATTCTGCTGTTCAATTATCTGTACTTGTTCTATATTGCAGTGGCATTAATATATGATTCATTTTGCTCTGTGTGTATGCAGCCTTTCATCTGATGTCAGCAAGGTTCACATTATGCAGTGCCTTAGCTGGCTGGTACATGTGCGTAGGTGTGTTCATAATTCAATTTAGCCGTTGTTGCCTCCTACAGTGTTGCACCTTTGTGCAGTGTCCCAGGACATTTATGATTTTTAATGACTCATATGGTGCTCCATTATCTTCATGTTTTATTTATTGCAATACTGGAGAGCTATAATGTATTTGTAGGCTGCAGTAATGTTGTCTTAGATGGATATCAGCCTCACTTGTTATCTCATTACAAATATGGAAATGTTTGACAGCCAGGGTGGAAAACATACATTTCACTCATGTTTTTTTTTTTTGTTTTGTTTTGTTTTTTTGTAAAAATGATGCCTGTTAATTCTAAACATATAGTATTGGTTTCCCCCCCCCCCGCCTCTCTCTCTTGCCACTTCTCCTTTTCCCGTCTCCCTTCTCATCAACCCTCTCTGGCCCTCTCCAGCGGTTTGAGCACTCTGCTAAACTACGGAGGAAGATCACCACGTATGTTTCCTTCCCCCTAGAGCTGGACATGACACCCTTCATGGCGTCCAGGTTAGATGATCGCTGAAGTCTACATGTTTCATTTCTACTACTAATGAGGCCCTCAGCTTTTCTTTTCATATATATTATAGTAAATATTTGGCAGCTAAGATCCAAATGGGGAAAAAATACTTTTCCTCGTATAGCCTTCACCTTCCCAATTCATTTATTACATTTCATGACATGCTTTGTGTAAATGCTCCCTAGTAATATACACTGTCACTAGAGCATGCAGCAGCAGTCTTGCCCCACCCCTGAATGTTGCATCCATTCAGCTCCGCTCATAGACTGAAACATCATTAGTGTTACAGGCAGAGAACCAACGTGCTTTCATTGATTGTAGTATTCTGCCACCTAGTGGATTTTTGAGGAAGTTTATACTTGCCTCAAACATTAACTGTCTTCTTTGTCTTTTACAGTAAAGAGAGCAGAATGAACGGGCAGTATCAACAGTCGGTTGATGTATTAAACAATGACAATAAGTGAGTACCTTGCATTAGCAAAATTCACGAAATATCACTAAATTATCAGCATTTGTTGCTGTATGACATCAAAGACTCTTACACAGTAGCACATGCTAATGACCCAAACCATCCGGCTGTGACTTCCCCTAATTAAATCAATTTGAAGCCTATTAAAAGCTGCTTAGTTTTCTTCATCCATTGCAGCTACAACTGCTTTAATTTTCCAGGACATTTATTGGGAAGATACTGTGTCGTTTGTGAAAATGTTTTTTCCTTAATATCTCTATAGTGTGAAAAATGACCTTAAAGTTTAATGGTACTGGGTTTTGAACCGAACGAGCTCATTTACTGGTGGGATGATGGGATATTCTTGCATTAAAAACTCAGTTTTTCCATTTCTTTTCTTTTTTCTTTTTAGGTATTCCTTGTTTGCTGTGGTCAACCACCAAGGCACATTAGAGAGTGGCCACTACACCAGCTTTATCCGCCAGCACAAGGATCAGTGGTTCAAATGTGATGATGCCATAATCACCAAGGCTAGCATTAAGGATGTACTCGATAGTGAAGGGTAAAAGTCAAAACACAACATTAGTGGTACACAGTCTGATACAGTGTGATACTGTAATTCATTTTGTTTTCTCTTTTCTTTCTAGGTATCTCTTATTCTACCATAAACAGTTCCTTGAGTATGAGTAGTCTTTGTGACCAATGACCATGAAGAACCACTTGCTTTTAAATGAGGCAGTCATGTGACTGGCGACAGGATGAAACACACAAAGCTACCTGAAACTTTCTGACTACCAGTCTGCTCCTCCAGTTCTTGAGGATGAAAACAAACAAACAAACAAAAAGAGATGTGTAAAATTACACATACTTTCAAAAGAAAACAAAACAAGCACTGAGCTACTTCTTGGCATCTACTTGACAAAACTGAATAAAGAGGAGGAGGAGGAGGAAGGGTCAGGCACCGCCAGTTCCAGGCTTGGGCAGAGGGAAGAGGCTCCACACCCCGTCGCTCTCTCTCCCTTCCCCTTCCTGCTGCAGGGGCAGAGTCTGAGCGTGACCGACTGTCACGCCGATTGGTCATATCTGGATTTTTTTTTCTCTCACAGTATTCTGACCCCACCCCCACACCCCACCCTCTGTCCCTCTCCACCTCCCACACACTCTCCATCTCTCTCCCATGGTGCTCTCATTTCAGCTGACCAAGCATTTAACTTAGTGATGATGGAGGACAGTATGTTGTCATATGCATAAAGGACTGAATGCAAAAAAAAAAAAAAAAAAAAGGACAAAAAAGGAAATATATAAATCAGCGTATTATGAACTTTGCAAGAACATTTTTAAACTTATGGTTATGATTCTTATCATTTGTGAATTTAGTTATGAAATACTGTATGAATCTAGTATACATCTATTTTTTATGGGCAAAGAAATAATGGGAGAGCTTGGAGACGCTGCCTTTGCCAGTAGCTGGGGAAGCGCTGCCATGGAAACTAAACAGATTTGGACCTGTGTGTTCTCATGTTTCATTATTTACTGTGTTGATTGTTTCATTTTTGTTTTTTAAAGTCTGGCTGAGGGCAGGGAATATCTTATTTTTTTAGCGACTCGTTGAATTTTTGTTTACTTGTTTTCTTTTCAGTGTCTTTAATTTTTTTTTAATTGTTATTTTCAGTACATTCATATGTTTCTTGCTGTCCTGGTACTGGAAATTTCTTTTTTTGTTTTGACGTATTATACTTTCATTCTTGTGGAATTGTTGGTATAATGATGGTGATGACTAATTGGCTCACCTTTTGCTGTTTAGAAAGTGTGTATGTTGAATGTGAGCTTTGGGTTTTTGTACTGTATGACAAGAAGATTCAATACACAAAACTACAGATCAGGTCCTGTAATATGTGAGGCTGATGTGTTCTCTTCGAGTTGAACACCTTGAATGTTTCTGTGCAAAGGAAAAAAAGAAGCCCTGTTAACAGCACTGCATGCGATTGGGCTCTCATGGTCTTATATGTGAAAAATTGCCCTTAGTAATGGCTCGAGGCTTGTTGCCCGTCATGATTTGTTTCTTCTGTACTTTTGGGTGAGAAGGCTGTTTGAGATTTCTAGTGGATTAAACACATTGCACATATATGGGCCCTGTGCGACCGCAGTCTGGCTCTGCATCCATCAGTATTAATCTTCTCCATGGCAACTGTGGATGGTGTAAACCAGTTTGGCTTACAGTATGTCTTGCCTCTGCAAACCTAGTGTTCTATTAAATTGTTTGTCAACTCAGACTTTAGGTAACACACATATGTGTCAGGGTTTTGTGGTCACTGATTGTGTGTATTAAAAAAAAATTGACGGATTGAAACTTGTATTTAAAAAAAAAAAAAAGAAAAGAAAAGAAAAGGGGGAAAAAAGAGGACCAGGGCCCTAACCAATCACAAAGTAATGCCACATAAAGAAGAAAAAAAGGAACCCCTGTTTGTTTAGCTGCTCTATTGAAAACCAACATGCATATCCTTTGGTCTCCTGCGTAACCTCAGCTCGTAGACAGTGAGGAATTTCTGAAGGGTGAAATTGAAGACTTCTGAAATGGTCACACTGTGGTTTTGTTCTGTGGTGGAGCAGTTGAGACCGCCCAAAGGACATTCAGGGACACAGCTGAAACGAAAAGGAAGAGGAGAGCTTCATTCGTTTCAGTGATTAAACTCAGAACAAAACTGGAATATGGATATGCTGTCTGTCTCATTTCTTTCTTTTTGTTTTTGTTTGCACATTAAAATATATTTTCAGAAGTGAAGCGCTGCCGTGCATGTACTGTTATAGAAGAACAAGGACAGAAACAAAAGTGGAGTCTCACTTTGTCAAAACTTAGACTGAACGCTGAAACACAGCTGATAGCTGATAATCACATGCCTAACTGATCAGATGTAGGCATGTGATTATGGCTCCACCTTGTGGTCACATTTAAAACCGCAACACAAAAAAAGAACAAGCCTGGTCATGGGCATTTAACCACATCCTGCACTAAAACAGCACATAAGATGAGGTTGTATCCCTTCACTACTTTACATTACTTCATTATTTATGACATAAGTGAAACTTGTCTCGTATTTATGATTTGCTAAGACAGTTATTTTGTGTTAATTTGTGTTAAGCGACTATAACTTCCGCCTAATTAAAACAGTTTAAAGTAAATTGGATTTTAATTTAACATTTTGTATCCTTAGAAAATTGGTTGAGAATTAAATGAGTGCACAAATCCCTCATCTCCATAAACACACATTAGGAAATAAGCCGTAGCCACCTTGTAACAATATTGAAACACAAGTCAGCGAGGTAGCGTATTAATAAAAATAAAGTCCGGTTATTACAACACCAAACGTGCTTAATTTTAGTGGGTATTGAGACCACTCACACATGCTTTGTGCAGTGTACTATAGTGGACTGAGCCAATGTGAGGTTCATGAGGGGGAGTTCAACTTTCAAAATAAATTATCTTCCAGTCTACATTTAAACTAATAGCTTTCATTGGGTTTAATAATATTTAACATGAAATAGTTATAATTTAAAGTGATAGCTTGATGATTGCAATGAGCGGTGCTATACCCCTTTAATTTCCACCCATGATTGCACTGACATGACCACATGTCAGTGCATGTCAGTGCAATGGACCCTCTCCCTCTCCAGGGAGGGAGAGGGTCCAATCAAATTTCCCCTTTAGCCACACCTCTGGATACCTTTGATATCTAAGTCCCAAACTCTTCATAAACAACCTCTGTGTTTACCTGCTCATTCATGCTGTGACAAAGGTCAGTTTTAAAAGACTGCACCAAATAATTTTTGAACATATTCTTTATTTAGTTTCAACACAACTATACACAATCTCATCTCATCTCATTAGATAACTATTTCACTTTAATTTAACTAAACAGGAGCTGGGAGAACATATATATCCCAAAATACAGGAATGGTAACATTCACAAAACAAAGAAAAGTGAAATAAAACACCAATAGAACAGGCAATGTAACCAATTCAGATATTTTAAAGGAAAAAATGGATTTTAAGAAATCAGCATTAATAAACAGCAGTAACACAGCTCTCCCTTGATATCTGCTACCATGATACTTAATGCAAGGTGTTTATTTTGCTCACACATACTAATACAGACTATAAGCTTTCACATGTATATCTGATGTGTTTGGTTTCATAGCTCAGAGATGGTGAGTTTTTTTCTTCTTCTTCAGTCTTCTGAGCAACATCTAGTCATAATGTATTCCTGGAGTCATCTCTCTATTATTGTCCTGCTATAAATGTTTCTATGCAACCAATACCAACTGGTCACTGTTGCTATAGAAATATAGGACACTAGAGGTGCTCCATGTCTTTCAATGCTAATAAGAAGTTACAATCCTGTTAACATATGCAGCAATAGTGCAGAGAGAGTGCCAGGCTGGATATGGAATTTGGTTAGTTATGGATGGGGTGTGACTAAGTGTGTGTGTGTGTGCACTTCTGCATATCATGTAAACACTCACACAAAGAAGTACATATTGAACTCGGCATGCTTAAGGCAGTAGTAACACGTATTTTACCTCTTGTTTGCTAGAGAGTGCTAGCTGACATGTTCACATCAACACATGGGCAGTCACGATTCTTCATGAATTAATTAAAATCTATCAGTAGCTTTGATGCTTTTGAAGAAACCTCCACATCTAATATAAATGTTTCATAAACACAAAGATAGTAATCCGACTATAGGAACAGAGAGGTCACGGGCTGCCAGAAGGAACTGTGGACTCCTGGAGCAGCACAATGACGATTTAAAAAGGAACACCACAGCCTCTTTAGGATAAGTGTTCTAGCCCTTCACAAATTCACAACACGCAGACACAAAGTGTTAGAAACCACACTCAAAATGTAGCCCCAAGACGCCACGGGGGACGATGGGTCAGAGTCAAAGGATACAAAGTGTTAACTAATAATATGTGATGTGGAAGCTCAGCCTCCAGATACAGGAACTGATTTAAGATATAGATCAAGTCATCTGTACCCTTTGATGCGCACTGCAGTTCCTGGGAAACCGGTGGACAGAAAAAATTGCAGTAAAATAACTATAAATAAGAAATTATCTTAACAGGTTTCAGGTTTGGAAAAAACATAATAAAAAGACTCTGGATTCATTCTTGATCATTTAGAAACAGCTCCCCCAAATTTAAGCTAATTGGTAATTATTACTTTGCAAACAATGACAGCAAGATTATTATATGGTAGATGTCGTTAAATAATAAGCAGTGTTGTGAAAAATCCAGTAAAACAGGAAGGTAACATTGCTCTATTTAATACCACCATGGTACTACAACCCTACGAAATGTCTATACATCTTAGCAGCACTTTGGTTAGAGGCTTGCTTGATAAACTGTCAAGCCAATACCCTTTAATGGGACCTAAATTATATATGTACATAGTGTAATGCAGGGAAAAAGTGACACAGGACTAAATATTTGGTGGCCTACTGAACATTCATATTTACATGAGATACATTTGTCTTCCAAGGAAAATCACTCACAAAAATAAGAAAAAAGTAGCTATTTACAGAACATAACGACACACAACAGCAGTGACATTCGTTATGTTCTACAGCTGTTTTGTACAAGACAGGATTGAGAGATTCATATATTTATATACATTTTCTGACTTTCTTTAAATACAGTTTCTATTTTGTTTACTGTCAAAATACTTCCCGAAAAGAAGCAAATAATCTGCAGTTACACAATATCTTGAGCACACTGTTCTCTTGTTATTTTCAGCCAATACAAAAATGTGTAAACTTGGCACAGCCTCTCTGCTATAAACTCTGTACATAGTGCTGGGTCTCTACTACACTGGTTAATTGGGCACATTTGCAATTGGGTGTTGACGTCTGTTTAGTTACTTCAGAGTTAATACACTCGGGACTGAGGAGATTAAATATGCATTTCATCCACAGCCTAAAGACAGCATTTATGAATTTGTGTTATTATGTTATAATAGATTTGCTTAGAACCTGATAATACATCAAGAGGGACACTGCAGTTTGGCATGCCTTTGATTTTTCCTCTGTGTTGATTTTTAATAAGTTTAATATTTAATAATGTTCTTCCTGATGAAACCTTAGAGAGATTGGTAACTGATGACTGTTTCTGAGAGTGTGTACATGAGTCCAATCAGCCGCCCCTCAGATGCTTGTCTGCAGGTCCCCATTGAGGAGAGTACTCTGGGTCTCCGTCGGGTCATTCATCATGCGAGATTTGTCCTGTCGGCTATCACTTCGATCAACCTCGTCCAGCCCTCCCACATTTTTAAGACACAGGACATTTTGGAAACTCTTCTTGAAGTTCTCTGATAAGAAGGCATAAAGGATGGGGTTAGCACAGCTGTTGGCATATCCTAGAACCACCACGAATGCAAAGGTACTTCTCAGAATCGGGGTGGTGCTGATGGTGCCCGTCACTGATGTGACGTTGAAAACGTAGAAAGGCAGCCAGCAGAAAACAAACACTGCCACCACGATGGACACCATCCGGGTGACTTTCCTCTCTGAGCGCTTCCTCTTGGAGGAGCCCACACGGATGCCCGAAGACTTCACCTTGATGATGATGCACAGGTAGCAAAGGCAGATGACCATGAGGGGCAGGAAGAAGCCTAGAATGAATGTGTAGAACATGAATGCTGTGTAGTAAGCCTCTTGAGGTTCAGGCCATACGATGGTGCAGAAGCAGCCATCATGCTTTGTAATTACACCACTGTAAATAACAATTGGCAGGTTAACCATCAGCGACACCCCCCACACTGCCAGATTGATAGTCTTGGCCATGCGTGGCTTCCTCCACTTTGTGGATTTAATGGGATGCACCACAGCCAAGTAGCGGTCAATACTCATGACCATCAGGCAGAAGATAGAAGTGAACTGGTTGAGGGAGTCGACGGTCATCACAACCCTGCATAGCACAGGCCCAAAAGGCCAGTGGACCAGGGCCAACTGGATGGCAATGAACGGCAGGCCAAGCATGAAGAGCACGTCAGCCACCGCCAAGTTGAGGATGTAGATGTTAGTAACTGTCTTCATCTTGGCGTAGCGCAGAATGACATAGATGACGAGAGCGTTTCCACACAGCCCCATAGCACAAACCAGAAAGTACATGCAGGTGATGACCACCGTGCTGGTTCTGTTGAAGCTGTGGTCTGTGTAGTTCCCGTGGGGGATGGACTCATTGTCCTGCATGAAGCTGTCGTACATGAGGTGCTCCGACAGGTTCGGAGGGGATGACGGGAAGATCCACGAGTCCATGACACCTCAGTCTCTCTGTGTCGCACTGATTATGACATCCCACCTGGACACAAGCACAAGAGAAGCTATGTTGCGGACAGATGATATGAGTGGCTATTATATGGCAGAAAACTGTCCACATGCGAGCACACGATGTAGCAATAAGAAAATTTGTATTTTTTCCACACGTATGGCCAGCAGTTTATATAGGGAATCTAATAGTCTACACCGTGATTATCTGTATCTCTGTTGAGAACAGACCTGAATAACAGCATGTCTTAGGAGGAATATCTTCTCATACAGAAGCTTAGATGCTGCTTTCTACCTGAGGTTAGACCTTTGCGCGTTTATTCGGTCAGGCTTACTGCTACCGAGGGAAATCACTCCACACCCCCTAAAGCCATGAGCTCTCCCGGGGGAAATTCTTTCATTTCACACGCTGCAAAACGATCAGCTGTGACAAGCCACCTTGGATTGGTTGTTGACACATTTCCCCCCCACCCCCCAATTTATTAGGGGGAAAGCATGGATGTAAATTTATCTCAGCTTAAGTAATTGAATGGGGGGAATCACGGCACTGCCAATAGCCTTGTTGCAGTGAGACTGAAGTGCTTTTCACTGCCAGTACACAGGAGGCAAACGTGGTCTGACAACTTAGTTTGAAGCCAAAAAGATAAGAGGTTTTATTATGCCAGTGCATCATTTTCTCCATAGCAGCAGGAAAGGTTGGACTCTGCCTGCAGTCTTGTATTTTGGTAAACAGCCGACCACATGTTACTGTTGTTCGGGTGCTTACACTGTTGTATTACCTATCACTTGGAAACTGGAAAAAGCACATTCCCATCGCAAAGAATAAACAAGATTAGTGATTAGTTCTATAGAGGCAGAGCACAGACACGATTAACATGGTGCCCAAAGCATTTGTGTAGATGAAAAATGAATCACCAGCTAAACACTGCAGGTGTCTGGTATATTGTGGAAAAAATGCTGTGTTTGAGGTACTGTGCAAACTGAGCAACAGGTATTCTCTATCTCTCCCTATAACTTTTAAATCACGTCTTAAAACCCACTTTTATTCCTTGGCTTTTAACCTCAGTGAGACTTAGTTTCTTTTTTAATGCAGTAGTTATTTAATTAATGATTTCACTCTCCTTTTATTTGTTTTTTATTTATATCTCATGTAATTTTATTTTACAGTTCCAATGTACAGCACTTTGTGTCAGCTGTGGTTGTTTTAAAGTGCTTTATAAATAAAGTTGATGATGATGATGATGATGATGATGATAAAAATATACAGCCAAGAGCCAGCACAGGAAGAAAGGAGTCAGGAATGCAGTTTGCTTCCAGCAAAGATGGTAAAAAGAGTATTTTGTAGCTAAAAGCCTTCAGGAACCTGTTTTTGTTTTTTTTAGCAGAAGACAAGACAATGACACAAATCTGGTTCAGAAAAGACAAACTGAAAGAGTGAGGTTAAGTCATTCATTAACAATATTAGGAAACTCTGTATACAAACAGGATAGGATATTGTTTGGTTATGTGTGTTGTGAAATTGCGCCTGTGTAAACAGTTAACAAAATTACCACAGCCCACGGAAAACGGGCGAGACATTTCTTTGGCTCAAGCACATTCAATTTCCCGTTTTTAATTCATTAATCCGTAAATCTGACTTCTCCTTTATTTTCGTACATTTTTTAACACATCCCTATCAGTTGCTCTTGGAAGTTATTATCTTACCTGTAACTGGGCTTTTTTTTCAGCATTCACAGAACACACCGCTTCTGTGTGGGTTCAAGTGTTTTAAGTGTCCACGGCAGGTTCATCTTTAAATATTCCCCAAGTTTGTCTCATGGGCGAGATGGAAAACCACTGCGTGATGCAAAATTTCGTTTTGCATTAAATCCGTACTGTATTGTGTGTTACGCAGCAAGAGAAAAGGAGACGGATGCCCTCGTGGTGTGGCGCGCGCAGTAACTGTCTCCGGCAGGCGGTCGCGGGGATGTTTAAGCAGTGCCGGGGAGGTGCTGAAGAGACTCACCTCTGAACGAAGAGGGACCGTCTACAATGATGCAGATAGCCAATCCCACATAAGATGGAGGTGATCTGCATGAAGCATGCTATAATTTAACGACTCTGGTGGCGAACGCCCTGCGCCACTGTGGATAGGATAGTTCTGGGATGTGACAATAAAGTTGACACCAAGACTTAAAGGAGGTCAGTTCATACCAGCTTATCATCCAGTTATCATTTGACTTTAACATTTTGGTTACAGGATCGAGGCACGAGTTCTTTTTCATGAAAAAGGTTATTTACTTATTTACTAAAGTTTATTTACCCGATCTACATTTTTTTTTAATTTCAATTTTATGTAATTTCTGGGTAAAATATGTCAGAACGCATTTCCTTAAAGTCAGACTAGGATTGGCCAGGAGACGGTCTGTTGTCCCAAATTTTCCCGGAAGCTACAAACTCAGATTTTTGATTGCGCACAAAAAAAGGAGCTTACCTTTGTGGTGTAATTGCATTGTACAGTAGATGTTAACGCAGCCGGTCAGTGTAGTTAGGCTGATGGCAGCTAGAGGGCGAGACCGGTGTGTTTCTGTATAGAATGTTATGTTATGTGGGGCAGAGCAAGAACAAGAAAATAAAGTGTGGTTATGAATCGTACAGTGGACCCGCGTATAATTGAATAATACGACATGGTGCCAGAAGTCCTGTACTGATCCATATAACCTCGACTGAACGAACCTGTGTCTGGCGGAGCTCGCGGGATAACGAGGGGAGAATATGGCGGATGAGACTGCACAGAGAGCACCGGCGGGGCCGAGCGCGACATTCAGCATCCAGCCACCGGAATCCTTCGACTTTTCAAAACCGCAGGAGTGGTCCAAATGGATACGGAGGTTCGAGAGATTCCGTCTCGCCAGTAATTTGAACGTCAGCTCGGAGGAAAACCAAGTCAACACGTTGATTTACTGCATGGGAGATGAGGCGGACGATGTGCTTCGCGGTCTGAGTTTAACAGCGGAGCAAAGGACAACATACGAGGGGGTACGTGATGGTTTCCAGGCTTTTTTCATTGTGAAGAAAAATGTGATCTATGAGCGCGCCAAATTCAATATGCGCCGACAGGGAGACAATGAGACAGTGGATGCTTTTGTGACAGCACTGTATGCGCTAGCAGAACATTGCAACTATGGAGTGCTACATGATGAGCTGATACGTGATAGGCTCGTTGTCGGTCTCACGGACAAACGGCTGTCAGAACGCATGCAGCTTGACCCAGATTTGACTTTGCAGAGGACTATCAACATGGCGAGGCAAAGTGAAGAGGTAAAGCGACAACAATCCTCCTTGCGAGGTGACTCTAGAGGTGAGGCTAGCGATGCTAAGTCAGTAGATAGAGTGCATAAAATCAGTCGTAAGCCTGTTAGAACCAAACTGCTCCAGACTGATAGTCGTCAAGCTAAAACACGTGGATTCCGAGAAGATGGCAGAAAAGGGCCAACCTGTCAGAAATGTGGTGGCGCTCCATCCCATTCAAAGCAGGATTGTCCAGCGAATGAAGTGAAATGCCATGCATGTGGAAAGAAAGGACATTACAGGCGTGTATGCAGGGCACCAAAAACAGTGCATGAGGTTGAAGAGGATGAACACGGTTTGTTCCTGGGCAGTGTTAAGTGTGAGGGTGAGCCGTGGACTGTCGACTTAAGCATAAACAACAAAAACGTGTCATTTAAAATTGATACAGGAGCCGATGTGACAGTCCTACCCCTTAAGGTGTTTAAGGAGCTCTACAGACACAACCACCCCCCCAGTCTCCACAAATCAACCAAGGCTCTGCTGGGTCCCGGGAGGAGTCGTTTGGATGTCGTTGGTGTCAGTGAGCTTGCACTGAGGAAGGGAGACAAAGAAATACTTGAGGATGTCTTTGTCATCAGACACCTGCACACTGCTTTGCTGGGGAGACCTGCTATTAGCAAGCTGGAGCTTGTGGCTCGTCTGGAGAGCATAACTATAGAGACGCTTAAAAAGTGCTACCCAAAGCTGTGCAGTGGTCTCGGTGAAGTACGTCAGCCGTACGACATCAAACTGAAACCTGGAGCTCAACCTTTTCCTTGAAGACGCCACGGAGAATCCCGTTGCCTCTGATGGACAAAGTTAAGCAGGAGCTGGCCCGTATGGAAGAACTAGGGGTGATCAGCAGGATTGAGGAGCCAACTGATTGGTGCTCAGGCATGGTGGTGGTACCGAAGAAGACAGAAGATGTACGCATATGTGTCGACCTTACACACCTCAATGAGTCTGTGTGTCGAGAGAAGTACATACTGCCATCGGTGGAGGAAACATTGGGCAGATTGGCTGGTGCCAGCATATTCAGCAAGCTGGACGCTAACATGGGGTTTTGGCAGATACCTCTGACGGAAAACTCAGCCAAATACACCACTTTCATCACACCGTTTGGGCGTTATTACTTCAAGAGACTGCCCTTCGGGATTGCTTCAGCACCGGAGCATTTCCAGAACAGGATGGTCACAGAGGTCACAGATGGTATGGAAGGGGTGGTTTGCCACATGGACGACGTGCTGGTCTGGGGCAGAACGCAGGAAGAGCATGACTCTCGCCTACACGCTGTGCTGGGCAGGATCCAAAAAGCTGGCATCACCCTGAACATTAACAAGTGCGACATCGCGAAACAGCAGGTGACGTTTTTAGGGCATGTTCTCTCAGCCAGCGGTATCAGCCCTGACCCAAGCAAGACCCAGGCTGTGAGGGAGATGAAGGAGCCACAAAGTGTGAGTGAGTTAAGGAGCTTTCTGGGAATGGTTAACCAGCTTGGAAAGTTTATCCCACAGCTCGCAGAGAAGGACAAACCTCTAAGAGACTTACTGTCTAAGAAAAACTGCTGGAGATGGGACATTGACCAGGCTAGAGCATTTCAGAACCTGAAAGATGCGCTCACATCACCGCCAGTGTTGGCCATGTATGACCCAAGCCGTGACTGCAAGGTGTCAGCGGACGCATCATCGTATGGCTTAGGGGGTGTGCTGCTTCAAAGATGGGACGAGGAGTGGAGACCCGTTGCCTACGCGTCACGCTCCCTCACTGCAACAGAACAGAGATACGCTCAGGTTGAAAAGGAGGCTTTAGGTCTGACCTGGGCTTGTGAGCGGTTCCGCAACTTTCTTATTGGCAAACACTTTCAAATGGAGACAGACCATAAGCCGCTGCTAAGTCTGCTGGGGGCACAAACTCTGGATGCGCTCCCTCCCAGAATTCAACGCTTTAGGATGCACCTCATGCGATATTCCTACTCGATTTCGCATGTACCAGGCAAACACCTGTGGACAGCTGACACGCTCTCACGATCTCCAGTGAAAGCAAAAGAAACACTTCAAGACAAGGAGTTGTTGGAGAGCACAAATATTTACGTGGACATGTTGATGGACAATCTGCCAGCTAGCAACAATTTCTTGGAGCAGCTGAGAGAAGAGCTGGAGAGGGACAGCGTATGTGCTCGCGTGATGCAGCTGTGTGAGGAAGGATGGCCCACACATTTCAACAGCGAACCAGCGCTAAGACTGTACTGGGCAGAACGGGCGTTCCTCACCGTACATGATGGTCTGCTAATCAAAGGGGACAGGTTGGTTATACCTGCAACTATGAGAATTGATGTGCTCACCAGACTGCACGAAGGTCACCAGGGAGTGGTTAAGTGCAGACAGCGAGCACGACAGTCGGTTTGGTGGCCAGGGCTAAGCCAGCAGATAAATGAGCTTGTCCTTAACTGTCGGACATGTTGCCAAGTGAGAGAAAACCACACAGAACCGCTGATGCCATCACAGTATCCGGGGCGGCCGTGGCAAAAGCTAGGAGCCGATCTGTTTATGCTGAGAGGGAAAACCTACCTTCTTGTCGTGGATTATGCCTCAAGATTTGTTGAGATTGCCCCTCTCACACCTTCAAGGTCAGAGGACGCGATCCATCATCTCAAAGTGATTTTTGCACGACATGGGATCCCCGAGCAGCTGGTAACAGATAATGGGCCACAGTTTTCAGGGGCAGCTTTTGAGACATTTGCAAAAGTGTATGGCTTCTGTCACATTACAAGCAGCCCGAAATATCCCCAAAGCAATGGCGAAGCCGAACGAGCAGTTAAGACTGTCAAGAATCTATTGCGGAAAGCTGTTGATCCACACTTGGCTCTGCTCGCTTACAGAGCCACCCCACTGCAGAATGGCTATAGTCCAGCCCAACTCTTGATGGGGAGACGGCTTCGCACCACAGTGCCAATACTGCCATCTCTGCTAGACCCCGCACTTCCTGATAGTGTGGTTGTCACCCGGAGGGAAAAGGAGAGGAGGACTAAAGAGGCACAGTCATATAACCTTCGTCATCGCGCACACAGCCTCGACAGGCTCACTCCAGGCCAAGAAGTGTGGATAACAGACCAGAGAGCCAGCGGCACCGTTATTGGCAGCCACTCCACACCACGATCATATCTCGTGGAGGGACCTCGTGGGACAATTAGGCGGAATCGTCGGCATCTTGTTCCCATGAAACACTCTCCAGACCAAACTGAGAGCAATAATGGGGAGCCAGAATCTGCAGAAGCCGGGGAGCAGTGCTCCACGGACATGCCAGAGACAGTTTCTCCAGAGCTTCCATCTACACCCAGAACCAGATCCGGAAGAGTGGTTGTGAGACCAACCAGATTGGACTTATAACGGATAAGATGGAAAGGACTGTTTTATACAAGAATACCCCTCTTTCGTAGTATTGTTTGCACAATATGGGTAAAAGTGTAAAAGCTAAAAGGTTGTCATTTTCAAATATGCATGTTCAGAAGTTGGGAAATGCAGGGGGTGTGACAAGTTAGCATGTAAGAATTTGTGTTACTTAACGGGTTAATTAGAGTTAAGATTTTCATTATATAGTATTCCTTACAGGTAAGCGCAGGACCAGACCTTCCAGCCACAGAGGCAGAATAACCCTCTAAGGTCTGGTGAGTCAA